AGCCTGAACTCCCAATAAAAAATGGAGATCACCAAGATCTTTCATAGCAAAGTATTTCCCTAGAATAGAAATAAACTGACTGATAAAAGATGAGGAATTACCAGTAATAATAATATCATCCACATATAAAAGTAGATAAAGAATGCGTGTACCATGACGAAAAATGAACAGAGAATTATCAGCACGACTGCATACAAAACCATGAGTTAAGAGAAAGCTACTGAAACGATAGAACCAGGCCCGGGGAGCCTGTTTAAGACCATAAATGGCCTTGCGCAGGCGACATATGTGATGAGGGAAGTTGGGATGAATAAACCCGGGTGGTTGACGCATATACACCTCTTCAGTCAAGTTACCATGAAGAAAAGCATTTTTAACATCCAACTGGCGAATAGGCCAATTATAGGAAACAGCTAGTGTGAGAACAATTCGAACAGTTGTGGGTTTAACAACAGGACTAAAGGTTTCGGAAAAATCAATCCTTGTCTGTTGCTTAAACCCTTGAGCAACCAGACGTGCTTTATGACGTTCAATAGATCCATCAGACCGATATTTATTTTTATAAATCCATTTAGACCCAACCACATTTTTACTAGAGTCAAACGGCACCAACTCCCATGTTTTATTAGCAATAAGTGCATTAAATTCCTCAGCCATTGCCGCTCTCCATTTAAGATCTTTATTAGCAACAGAAAAACAAGTAGGATCATGAATCAAAACCTCAGTGTTTAAATTAAAAATCGTTTTTGGTTTGAAAATTCCTGATTTAGATCGTGTTTGCATGGGATGAATATTTTGGATCAAGGACGGATGGGACACCGGACTCGCACTATCATCCTCGCTGCCAGACGATGAGAGATCCGACTGGGCAGTATGCACCGGTGAGCTAGGTAGCACCGGCGAGCTGGTTATCGAGGCATCCCCAGCTGTCGGTGTACTGCTGGAACCAACCGGCGCCGTATCTGGAGCAACCGGGGACGAAGATACTGTCTGGGAAGCAGATACCGAGGACGAGTTGCGGGAGACCGGTAAGAAAGATGGAAGAGGCGGTGGCTGTCCAGTAGCACTAGAGGATAATGGAGAGGAAGACAGAGGGTATGATGGCAATGTGGTAAGCTGAGAAGACTGTTGGGACACCAAGGCAGCATACGGAAAAATATTCTCATGAAAATGAACATGACGACTGACATAAATCCTATTTGTCCTGGGATCTAAACAACGATAGCCCTTGTATTCCGATGCATAGCCTAGAAAAACACACTGAGTGGAACGTGGAGAGAGCTTGTTGGCCGAAGTAGCAGAAAAATTGGGATAGCAAGCACATCCAAAAACACGCATAAAAGAGAAGTCTGGAGTCCGGTGAAATAATTTTTGGTACGGTGAAAAACCAGTAAATTTAGTAGAGGGTAGACGATTAATAATAAAAGTAGCAGTTAAAACAGCCTCTACCCAAAAAATTGCTGGTAGGCCCGCATCAATCAACATGGTTCTAGCTAAATCAAGAAGATGTCTATATTTTCGTTCAGCTAGACCATTTTGTTGAGGGGTGTCTGGGCAGGATTTTCGAAAAAGAATGCCATGAGTATTAAAAAATGACCGCATACTTGAATTATCAAATTCACCCCCTCCATCACTTTGAAAAATTTTAATTTTATGATCCAATAAATTTTCCACCAGACATTTAAAAGATTGAAAATATGTGAAGACTTCACTTTTACGACGCATAGGATAAATCCACGTAAAACGAGAATAATCATCAATAAAGGCAACATAATACTGGAAACCAGAAGATGAAAGCACAGGAGATTGCCAAACATCAGAATGTATTAAAAACAATGGTTTATTAGCAGTATGAAAAACATCTTGAAAAGGTAATCTTTGAGATTTACCCAAACGACACGAAGTACAATCATGATTAAAAGAAGTAAGACTGCTAAGGTGACCTGACTTTCTAAGACCATCTAAAACTCTAGTGCCACAATGTCCCAACCGACGATGCCAGAGTGGTCCAGGTGCTGCGCTAGAGGACAAAGCCAATGGTGGTGATGGAGAAAAATGAATGGGATAAAGATTGCCGCTACTGGAAGCCTGAAGAAGAACCATCCCCGTGATTTTGTCCTTAATCAAAACAGAGTTTTTATCAAAAATAACCATGCAATTATTGTCAGAACACAGCTTGTGAATAGAAAGCAAATTATATTTAATTTGAGGGACATGATAAACAGATCTTAAATGAAGAGGCTTTGACAAGGAATTAATAGAGATATCACCAATATTTTTAATGGGTAGATTAGTTCCATTAGCTACAGTAACAGCAAGTGGCCCAGAATAAATAGATTTATTAGCTAAAATACCTTCTTGATGAGTCATATGCGCAGAAGCACCGGAGTCTGGAAACCAGACAGCGTCATTTTGGTCACTCATAGGTGCAGCAAGAGCAGGGGCAACCGGCTGATTAAAACGGGACGGACAGGAGACAGCAGAATGACCTGGAGAATAACAAATTTGACATACAACTGGCGGGGAAATAGAACCAAACTGTCCATCAGCTAAGGGTGAGCCTGCAAATCTGTGGTTAGTACCAATAACAAAATAGGGATGCGTATTGGACGATGAAAAAACTGAATTACAAAGTGTTGTACCTGATTGTCCCTGTGGAGGTGCACCTGTCGGTGGAAAAGGAAAATATCCCGGCTGAAAGTAGCCGCCCTGTGCTGCGGATCCAGGCCTCGGCTGATAAGGGTATGGCGGATTGGCTGCATAGCCTGGCTGCTGGCCATAGCCACGGCCTCTGCCGCGGTTGCCCCGACCTCGCTGACCACGGTTCCCGTGACCACCACGGCCCTGAGCTTGTTGGCCGCGATTATCCTGCCCGTTCCCAGCTGGAGGCGGCTGCTGCGCCGCAAATGCAGTGGGCGAAGGGACAGTGTCTTGAGAGCGGAGGTATTGAATGTGATGCTCCTGTTCGATCAATCTAATGCGTAATTTCTCAAACGTTAGTCCCTCCGGGAAGGTGGTCAGAGTTGTCATCATGGATTCATATTCAGGACCAAGACCAAGTAGAGTTTGCTCAAGAAGATCTTTCATAGGTACTGGTGAATTAATGGCTGCGAGAGCTTCTGCAATCTTTTGGATCTCACGCATGTACTGTTCCATGGTCTGATTTTCTTTCTTTTTGCAATTACTCATTAATCGTTTTAATTCCATGGAACGCGCTAAACTAGCAGCCATAAATCGTGATTCCAGACGTTCCCAGATGGTAAAAGAATTTTTTAATGTATGAACTTCAACAAGTATATCACGAGATAAAGTAGCAAACAACCAAGAACGGACTGTTTGATCTAACTTTAGCCAGTAAAAATAATCATTATTTGTTACCTCCCTACGAAGAGCATCAAGTATATAAGGAGGAGGAGCAGGAATTGTACCATCTAGGAAGCCCAATAATCCATGAGAAACCAAAAAGGATTCAAACTGAGTTCTCCAGGGTAGATAGTCTTCAACCGCATCAAGCCTTGTTGTAACAATATTAGTAATATTTGGAGTAGAAAATCCCATGGATTGAACAATAGCCTCAAGTGCCGATCCAGACGAAACAACAGGCTGTCGAGGAGCAGCCGGCCGAACCACTGGTGGCGGCGTGACACCTGGCGAGCCGGAAAACGTAGGGCCAGCATACTGTGGACGGGATTCAAAACGCTCTGGCTGGAGAACGACATCTGGCCTAGGACGGGGACGGCCTGCCGGAGACGACCAATCGAAAACCGGTGGAGTCGACCAGTCAAAGGTTGAAGGTAACGAGGCTGCTGAGATAGGCTGCATAACAGATGAACTGGCGCCAAAAGAGAGACTGAGCGGAGCCATCATCGTGGCGGATGATGCCGGTAGGATGACCGCCGGCGCTGCCGTGGACGGTGGCGCGACTGCGGCGGTAGTGGCGGGCGTTGATGCCATAGGATCGGGAAAAAAACTTAAAGAAACCCTAGGGCTCTTGATACCATGTGGAAATAATAAACAGGCTTAACCAGACTGGTAGCCCTGACTGTATATTTATAATGAAATAAGTCTCCAAATACAATTAGGATACTGCCTAATAATTAATACATAATTAATTCTACTCTATTAACAAATCCCACTATCTTAAAACCCGTGTCCGGTCAAAACCGGAGTTAAATATGGGACGGAGGGAGTAACAACCTTAGTTTTATAAGTAGAACTTCAAAGTATTATTAGGAAATCTCACTTTTGATATGTATAGGTTTTAAATTTCAAATATCAAAATGAAGATAATAAAATTATTTTATGTTGCAAAAACTAAATGAAATGTTCAATGTTTTTTGCTGCTTGAAAACATGGTAAATAGACGGAAACGTGAAAAAAGAAATAAATATTTTTTCATAAGAAAAAAAAAAATCGAAGCCGAAACAATTATTTTTGGCTCCAATATCATGTATCGATTGATGTTAGCCAATTCTAAAAAAATTTAGACTAAGACTTGGTATTGTTGTAGAAGAAAAAATTGCCTACATCTAAATATTGTTCTTGAAGAAAAAAATCTGTGAGTCAACGAAAAATTAATTAAAAATATCATTCCCACTTTTTATGCCTTACAATGATTTCTTTTATTATCATTTATATATTGTTGTTCTGTTGTTATTATTATTGTTTTTTATAACTTATTATTATTAATATTATTATTAATAATTGTTGGTTTGTTTATCATTTTTATATTTATTACCATTATGATTATAATAATTTCAATTTGGTGTTTGTTGCCCATACCTGGAACCAATTATAAATAACTTTCCCTTAAAATTCCACTTGCAAAGGAATTGTATCTACCATGGAATTAAAATGTACCAAAGCTTGTAGTTCCATCTCATAGGACTTCAAAACTTCAATATGTTGAACTAATTTTTCCGTGAAAATATAGTACAAATCATATTTGTCACGGAAGAATATAAATTAGAAAATGAGACGTTATTGTCAACTATTAATGCATTGATATGACGTAGAGGCAAATAAACCAGATTACACCCTACTCCTTGAAGAACTTAATTTCTACGTTTATGGTCAGCCACAACTCACATGTCATAACAAATACAAATTACCTTTAAAAATCTATGCATTGTTTGAAAAATGAAAATACCAAATACAAAACGCTTTAGGTGCAAACTTTGGTAGGACCACAACCCTCACGCATCACGCGTGGGAAGTCTAGTATTTACAAAATTTCATCGGTCCTCATCAAATATATACAAGTGTGGAGTGGAGAAACTTTCAACTTTCCCTTCCTCTGCGCCATCTTTAGTTATTTCATGACACTCCCAGCCGAGATGCTCGACATAAACTTTGTCAAACGCATTGATTGTCAACTCTGAGGCTAAAAACAGTTCTATCTCATTGACCAAGCGATCTGCTCGGCCTGATAGGAAAGGCCTTGCTGCTTGAGACACCAAGACTCTAAATTCTTGTCGATTTTCTTCCGCAGTCCTTTGCATAAGGGTTTCCGTGTTTCTGCATTGTTACAGCATTGATCAAATTGAACAAGCTAAACGGGAATCATTAAATTTTGCTTGGGATGCTTCATATTCTTCACCTTTTCTAATTCAAACTAACTTTGGAAATCAGGCTACTTATGCTGCACATTTTCAGGTGAAGCAAAACAAAAATAAATAGACTTAAAAGCTCTGAGCAATCTAAGTTCTAGTGGAGATAATTATCGAAACGCTTTAAATTTAGTTCATCACTAGTAGGCAAAACAAATTAATACCTCTTGAAGGATTCAATAACACCATTTAGATGATGCACCACTATATCAACATCTGCTTCCTGAATATGAAGTAAATTCAACATCACAAGACATCTGATTCAATGATTAAAAATCAAGCCTAATGGGAGTAGCTCCTGACAAGTTCGGTTTGTGGTGACATATTCACCACTAACCATGCCATGAAAATTAGATATGGAGCGTTCAACAAACTTCATGTGATATCAACACTTGAACTTTAGCATTCTATGGCCTATCTTTTGGCATGAAACCCACTGTTATGGTCACTGATCAGCTGAGGATGGACAAGGCAAAAAGAATGTGTGCAAAGTGCTGGTCTAGGAAAGAGAATATCTAGGCCACATTCCCCGGGATACAAGAGGAAAGACATTTTTTATAATGCAAACAAGAGTGTTTAGCCTTTTTGGTTCCATTTACCAATACTAGCTGCTTGGTTAAGAAGGATACATTTGTCTTCCATAGTTCCATGTATTAACTGAGCCAACAGATGCATGGGGCAGTTAGGCAAATCAACATGCATGTTAATCATGATAGAATAGTTCATTAGTTGACTTGTGCCTTTATCATCACTGAGAATACTAAAATTAACCCCTAAGAAAATCCACAATGCACATGAACTTATGTCTTTCCCATATAGAGAAGTTAGGAGATGCATCAAGATTGGAAGATAAGAGCTTGCTGCTCCCTCCGTCCCTTAATAACCTCTAGGTTTATTTGCATGGTTTTCAATAAAGTGGTGATGGTGCGGTTAAAATCTGTTTAGAGTTGAGAAACATCCAGAGAACCATTTCTCTAAACGGAAAAGAGGATATATAATATAGGGACGGAAAAAAAGGAATGAAGATAAATATGGGGCAAAGGGGATATAAAATTAGAAGCAGGTTGGATGAAAATGCTGAAGAAACTATGAAATGATGAGGCAAAATGCAAAATGAGAAGACAGCGCATGGTTGAAGGCCCATATAATAATGCATGAGATGGTAGTTTCATCTAGGGGTAGGAAGTACTGAAGTTGCAGAAGTCTTAATTGTTACAGTCAACACATGATCAGACCAAAAAGAGCGAGATAGATGACAGTTGACAGGCAGCTAACAGCTATGAAATATTTCTCCATGTTTCCCATCTTTTCATCTTAGAGGTCCCAACAAATTCTCTAAATTTGATAAATATGACCTTACATATGTGATAGAATAATACATGTAGCTTCATGAAAACATCCCGATATACACTTCCAATAGTGTGCAATTGTGCATCAGCAAATAATTCACATATTCAAACAGTACATAAGCAAATTGACCTGTGTTAATGCTTGGATTTCCCTTGTCAGCCAATTGTAAAGCTGATGAGCAGGTTGACGATACTTGTGCAGCTTCCAGTATCGCATCACCTTCAATTTTTCAGCTAAAGTTCCTGTGTAGCTCATAAGTTACAGTACATAGATGCAAACGTGGGTTAGAACTTAGAAAATATTAAATGGAAATTGATATATTCCAAACCGCTACATACCTGTTTCAGTGTAATAGCACTGTAATCTGTACTTGTGAGATCTTGTGAAAAAAGCACTGACTCTTATGCCAAAGGGAAAGGAAATACATTGATAACTTGGAACAAAAAAAGGCCCAATACCAAAGCTCATCTAATGGGAGACTGAGAAGACGCTACTACCTATTCCCGAGATTCTGATCAAGATAATACCTCTGATATGAAATTCCATCATATCCATGTATGACTGAAAAGTTAAGTGTCTGCATCCAAGCAACATAAGAATGTTAATCTGAGTGGAATTTTAAAAGCAGCACCAGGAAATATTGTACGTTTACTATTATTAACGGACACATAAATCAGCACAAACTATTTGCTACTCAAGTGAAGTTAAAAAGTGAGAAAAAATATATTATCAGATATGATAGAACTTCCGTACAAAAAGAGGAATCGAGAGGATTTCATTCACATGCTGTTAGGCCAGTTTTGTCAAGCTACAATCCATGCTGGAAAAGAAAACCATTTCAAGCTTATCACATGCAGAAAGTGAAAATAATGGTACTGTGCTAATCAAATATTCTTCAAGTCTAAATCATACACTCGGTTGTAAAGACATCTTGAGAGAGATATAGAAAAGTTGAAATGGTACCACAAATTTTAGCTGCAAAGAGCATCATTTCATTTTGCACAAGCATTAAAAGGAAATTGTATTTTATGGTTATAGATTAGGCCCAAAAGCAACTAACGAGATCAAGTTTCATTACATGTGTGATGACTTTTGACTCACTCAAGCGCTTTTGAACCTGTGGAGAAGCATGCCAAAACTGGGTCTAGTTGAATTAATTTCAAGGTAACTAAAGTTCTGACACCAATTAAATGCTGGATCACAGTACATACTTCATATAAATTAACAACTTAACATTATTTATACTGTACCAGACTGCCAGTATGCCTCCCAAAAATACTTGCTTCAACCCCGAAGATATTAGATAGATTCCAAGACCACAAAAAAACATGGCAATATTTGTTACTTAATCAGCATTCTTAGAATAATACTGCACCTCGCCAATCCTTAAAGCTTCATTTCCATGAAAAAAGGGTTTAACTTAAAAAGGTATAACTATGTGGAAGGTGTCATACGGTTATCAAGTCAACGAAAGTAATACAACTGAATGGTGTGTAGACCTCTCATCTCCCAACAGTATTGCTCTGGTTCTTTCTAAGAGACCCAAAGGCCTACTCTCTACAGAAAGCTAGGTCCATCTAGAAAAAACCATTCCCATAATTTATGATAGTATAAAAAAGGATAAGCAGAATCAGACCTTGCAAACAGGGCACTTTACTGAAGCAGGTTGTGTAGCGTGCTTGCTAGCTACTACTTTGGTCCAACGTTGAATGCAGTTGTAGCAAAACTTATCTGTAAGCATCAAAATGCTCAGGGACTATAAATCTATTACCATTTCGTTGCTCTAGTTATCATTCCCTAAACTTGCAGCCATTTAATACGCCACTTGAAACATACTTATAGATAAACAAATGCATCTAACCCATAGGTATTGCTTAACTAGAAATTATGCATAAAAACAACACTTTGACCCTTGATCTCTGTTTAATATTCCTGTGTTGGGAGGGTTGTAAATATGAGGGCTCAATACCTAATTACATCTCCTGAATGCCAGCGACAGTATAAATAGAGCCAAATTGATACAAATGTGAAATGCACTGGCATACTGAGTATTTAGCATGATGGCGAATTTGTGTATAACATAATTATTATATACAGACATATGCGTATTAATGTGAAGCAGAGAGTGGATAATCTGAAAGAAAGGAGATGATACGTACGGAAGCATTGGTCCAAGTATGACTCCTCAGTCACGGGTCCGAGACAGATAGGGCAAGGATTCGGATCGGGCGTCAGCTCGGTTATGCCTCTTTCCTCGACAGCCATGATATTTGCTTCAATGTGACAGCAAATGGATCATACGCAAGGAAATTTGATACCTATGTTTAAACATAGCAAAAATTAGATGAAATTCACGTTTTGTAGGAGAAAAGGTGCTCATCTACCTAAAAAGAATTACATTCATACACTAATTTTATAAAATTAACTTACGAGTTTGACTTATTTTTAGCCAATAGAGACGGTTCTTTGGAAGAAGTTCAAGAGAGTATGAAATATTAAAGATGTGTTTTTCTCCTGGGATTTTTGGATTGGTGGGTGGAGGATTAAAAGTTGTCAGGTTTGGGGAAGGTGTGTAGAATAATTAAGGGTATAAAAGAAACTTTGCTTATAATTTATATTTCTTAAAAGAGAAATGATGCGATTGATAAAAAACTGCCGAAAAAGAAAAGTGTTGCACGTATTCAAGAACGGATGAGGTACTACGTATAATTTACTCATTTTTAAGCAATGGATGCTCTCTATCCTCACTTTTCATGGGAATGGTATCGTTCTCTTGAACTCGTACCCTATATGTGGAAAAAAGATGCATTTCTCCGAATTTCTAAAAATTTAACTAAATTAGTCCCAATTTTGAAAACTATTAAATATATATTACTAAATTACTCCTCCTAACATCTAGTGTCACTATCGGGAGTGTGTCTTGACTCCAACGCCCTAGTGATGTAACGTCGGTGAGACCAATGACTAGTGGCCTATGTTGCACGGAAATGCGAAAATCGTGAGGAAACGAGAAACGGGAAACATTAACTTTTGTCCCCCCCCCCCCCCCCCCCCGCACCACCCTTGCCCCTGTACAGCACCACCCCTACTCCACAACCATGCACCACCCTAGCCCCCTGCCTCACCACACCTAGGGGTGGATTGGGCCCGGGCCGCCCGGCCCGTGAACCGTCCCGGCCCGCTACTGTGCGGACCCGGACTGGCTCAGTCTAGGGTAATCGGTTCCGGGCCTAGGCCCGGTTGGGGGATTGGGGCGGGGCACATACGGGCCCTTAATTTAGTGAACTGGCCCGAGCCTTTTTTGTTTTTTCATTTTTTTGTTTTCCCTGGGTAGGGCAGGGTGTTTTTTTTGGGGGCGGGGTTGGGTCCCAGGCCCGGCCCGGAACTGGAACCGGCCTGGCCCGGGTCCACGCCTAACCACACCCCATAGCGCCAGCTAAATCATTGCCGCTCACAAACCCCACACGTAAGGATGGCAACGGGGTGGATCGGGGACGGTTTTACATATAACTGTGCCCGCCCGTTTGGTAATTCCCCTGCCCCATAACCGCCCTATTATCCTACGGGTAATTTTTACCCAAACTATAACCGCCCCAACGGGTAACGGGTATAACCGCGGGTAACCGCAAGTAATCGTTTTATTAAATGAGTCATTGATATTTTAATATAAAAATAATATTTTAAAAGGAGACGCCAATTTAAAGTTTTGTATATCTGCAAGATAAGAAAGAAGGCATCTATATTAATTTGAACCTAAAAAACTTAATCTAAGAAATAACTGATCACGAAAAAATGTGATAATAATCAAACAAGACTATTAAGATCTATTATGAACTTTCATTCATACACTATAGCTAGTACATCTATTTACCATATATACACAATGAAAATAGAAAAATCTCATCTTTTATTAGTTGTGGGACAAATAATAGATGAGAATGTAATAAAAATATAACTTAAAATAAACGAGGCGGGTACGGGGCGGGTAATGGGGCGGGCATAGGCATGGACTCGGGCCGGGCCTAGGCCCGGTCGGGCCGCCGGTTTGTAACTCATGGACCCGGGACCGGCCCGAGGTTTGGACGGGTCCGGTTCGGGCCGGGCCACCCGCCCGGGTCACGGGTTCGGGCCACCCGCCGGGCCGGGACGGGCCGGTTAAAACCATTTTTTTATATATAATTTATACTTTATAGTTTTATACAAGTATTAAAAACAAACTTCAAGTGCATTTATTTGAAATGAAATAGGAACTACATTTGAAAATTAAGAGAAACGTACAATATGAAATACATTTTGCAAATTGTAATCAATCAGAACTTCCCGCACCTCCTGATCCTTTGGCTTTGTCACATGAAAAATTATTAGCCATTAGTTCAGATTTACTTTTTTCGTACCGGTTTGGGATGAGGCAGGCTCGTCGGCATCGTGGCTGCCGCCACCCTCCTCCTCGTCGTCGTCGTGGCTCTCCGGAATTACTTCCTCCACATCGTCGCCCTCGAGCTCTTCTTCGTCAATGGTCCTCGGTTGGTCTTGAAAAAAGCGGCTATTATGTCGATGCAATTCTTGTTCTAGTTGTTCGTCGGTCATCGCATCCTCATCCCTCCTTACGTAACCCGTATCAAAATCATCTCGCCTTTGAGATGAAGAGCCGATATGTGATTTACCTTTGCGGGATCTCTTCCTCGCAAGCTCTTTCGTTCGGTTGCGCTCGAGGTTACCCATATCAACCGAATATCTAGGACAATCCATCTAAAAAATGTAACAAATATTAAATTGCAACAAATATATTAATAAGAGTAATTAAAACTATTTTAAATAATACTTCAATCTGACTATTAATTTGAGTTATAGCAAATTACTATTTTAAAGTTTACTTTAATCAAATTACTAGTAATTAAATAATACTTTAATTCGAGTGAAATGTGAAGTAAAAATGTGAATTGAACCAAAATTTATAGCAATACTATTGTTTAATAAATAGTCAAAATTAACTAGTGAATTAACTATTTTTGTGTACAACCTATCAAATTAATATAGTTTAACTTTAACTATAATGAGAATTAACTAGTTTTTTAAACTAGAGTCAAAGGTAGCAATTAATAAAAAATCGTAATAAAGTAATTAACTACTTTAATGAAAAATTAAACAATTTGTGTGAAAACTAATTAACTAATCAGCTAGTTTTTTGTACTACCTTTTTTTTACTAACAATCAAATTATTATAGTTTAACTTTAACTATAATGAGAATTAAGTAGTTTTTTTTCAAGTAATGTTAATACAAAATTAAACAAGTGTAAATAATACTCCCTCCGTCCCGAAATAATCGTCCTATTTGACCTTCACACAGATTAAGAAAACAAATTTGACTTCACACTGTAGCGACACTGTTTGGCACTGTAGCGACACTGTTTGGCACTGTTTGGCACTGTTTGACACTGTTTTGTATAGATTTGTTTACCAAATAAGGAAAGGAGACAATTATTTCCGGACGGACCGAAAAGGAAAGCAGGACAAATTTTTCGGGACGGAGGGAGTAGAATGATTTCGTATCTCTTTCAGACTTTCAATCTTTCGGATGGGAGTAATAGAATGACATCAAATTAATTAGATATAATTCCAACTATATTAATAGATATAATAAATGTATAAGTAATATATAATTAGATAAGAAATATAAGTAACATAATGTATGTATTTATAAATTATAAGTAGATAATTGATATAAAGTAGATATATAAATATAATATATTGGAGAATAAGAGAATAAGAGAGTAGAGAGTTAAGAGTAGGATTTAGGAAGAATTGGAGAAGAGATATGGAAAAATGTTTAAGATTAGGAGTATTTATAGGTTTTTTTACCCCCCCCCCCACCCCCACCCCACCCCCCAAACCCCCCGGACCCCCCCTGCAGCCCACCCAACGGTCATCTTTGGCCCAAAAGATTTTTTTTTAAAATGTAGCCGTTGTGACCCGGACCCGGGCCCGACCCGGCCGGGCCGGGTCACATTTTCCATGAACCGAGCCCGCCCCCGCTTCCCCCACCGGTTCGGGTCCACACCCGGTCCCGGACCGCCAGACCGGGCCGGTCCCGAGCCCGCACAGTAGCGGGCCGGGCCGGGTCACGAGCCGGGTGGCCCGAACCGAATCCATCCCTAGACGGGTATGTATAAAACCGTAATCACCCCGTTACCCGTAAAACCAAAACGCTTACTCCCCGCCCCGTACCCATTACCCGGTTAATGTAGTTTTCCCCGTTTTGAACGGGGCGGTTCAGTGCGGGTATCCATTGGATCGGTCACAATTGCCATCTCTACCCACACCCTCTAGCTGCCCCATCATCGACGCCCACCATCCCAATCAGTTTCCATGGCGTCAATTCACAATCGTCAGCGCCACCTTCAGCAAGGTCGTCGCCGCTGTAAAAAGAACCCTAGGTATGCAAATCCGTAACGAACTCACAGGTTCATCTAAAAGCCATAACAAGCCATAACTTCAAACCCATAACTCCTGGTTCATTACAACAAAACCAGAAGTAGCAAAACCAAAATAACTAATACGTTCAACATAAGCTATCCAAAACATGTTACACAACAACTAACAAAGATGCAAATTTGTCCACAAAAATGTAATCTACAATGAGATTACCTCACACACCAATACCATGCAATATACTACAAATAACCCTAGGCCTAGCTTTACAATTGCATTGTTGAATAGCCGGACCACCTTCTTGACTTGGCTGACCAGGTTCTTCACTTCGTAGACCTCTCAGCCTTCTTCTATTGTTTGTAGGCCTGGCAATTTTTCTGGTGCCCTTCTTCCTCTCTCTGTGGTCTGTTGTCTTTGTGGTTCTTTTGGGCATTTAGATTTGATATGTCCTGCTACCTTTTGGAGATAGAATACATTCAATACATTATCACTGTACCTTTTCTTGTCATTGTTGTGCTACCAGATGATGGTCCTCTTTTTGTTAGGTCATCTGGTCATTTTTTGAGAATTGGGGCTTCAATATCATTTTGTTATGTCCTTTTCCACAACAGGCCTTGTTCATGGGTTCATGGGTTCAAGGTGAGGGAACCTCTGTTCATGGGTTCAAGGTGAGGGAATAGATTCTCTAGTACATCTTTTGAGTAGCACTCATCAACAAAAGTGTCTTGATCCATGCCCTCGTCAAATACAGCTCACACAAGATAAGTTTCTGGATCCCTGGCCTTGTCAATTATAGCACACACAGCATGCAGGCATGGAATTCCATACCCTGCAAGAACGAATTCTTCCTTCTAGCGGTACCTGGTACTGATGTCTTCCATGTTTGACCTCATAGCCGTCATGACCATTAAAGACAACCTGCTTTGATAAAAGTAGTTGCATATGTAGTAGCAGATATTCAATAATGGAATGCTCACTTCTAAATATAGCAAATACCTTCCATCCCGTGTTTTCATAAATGTTTGGATTTAGATTCTTCATAATTTCAGGTCCAATGTTACCTGGCCACATATTTCCAAACTTTGCCTTCTTTGCAATTTTTTTCATTGTGGCAACTCTAATGGATTCTGAAATAGGGATAATAGACTTACACCTAGCTTTAAGAAGTGTGTTAATAAATTCAGACAAGAGCATCACACTTAGCATCAGTTCTAAAGAAAGCTTTGCACCACTGATGAGGTGACCATATAAATCCACATCTGCTTGGGCTGTAGGATCAATTTTTTGCAAAGAATTCATGTTGAAGACGGTGAGGTTGTGTGGGGGCATCTAACACATATCCAGAAGTGCTTCTTCGTGATCTTTTCCTGATGTTTCTTACTCCAGTTGGCATGGGTATGCGTACAGCAGTTTCTGTGCTCAGAATTCAGGAACAATTCCTTGATCACATTTGCTAAGCCCTACACACATGTTAAGAGTTCATTTCATGAAAATTATTAAAAAGAGCATCATTCTTAAGTATCAGCTTACATGTACTAGTTTTTTTGACAATTTACTGAAATAATTACTACTGTTCTTGCATCCTCTTAGTAGCATTCTTCTTACCAGTACACATTTATTAGTTTCATTTCTTCCAATTTACTGAAAGTCACTAGTTTCCTACAGTACTAGTTAACTAGTTTCCAATTTATTAGTTTCCTTTCATCCAATTATTTATTGCACAGTATTAAAATGCTAAATATAATGCTTCTCTACAGAACATTTATATTAACAATTTGACATTATTTTTATTGTGCCAGACTGCCAGTATGCCTCCCAAAATTACTTGCTCCAACCCAGATGATATTAGATTGATTCCAAGACCACAAAATAAACATGGCAATATTAATTGCTTAATCAGCATTATTAGAATAATACTGCACCTCTCCAATCTTTTAAGCATCATTTCCATACAAAGAGGGTTTATCTTAAAAAGTTAAAAGGGTGTAACAAAAGAACTAACTCATGTGGAAAGAGCCATACTGTAATTAGGTTCATGAAAGCAATACACTACATGGAATGTAGACCTCTCATCTCCCAACAGTATCGCTCTGGCTCCTGATAGACTCAAAGCCATACTCTCTACAGAAATCTATGTGGAACAGACTGAAGCACTACTACAGAGTGCTTTAGAGTGCTTGCTAGCACTTTACTGAAGCACGTCGAATAGACTATAGAGTGCTTGCTAGCTACTACACTTTGGTCCAACGTTGAGTGCAGTTGTAGCAAAACTTATCTATAAGCACCAAAATGTTAAAGGACAATATATCTATTATCATTTCATTGTTCTAGTTATCATTTTCTAAACTTGGAGCCGTTTAGCACACTGTACACCGCTTGCATCTATTATAGATAAAGAAATGCAGGTAACCCATAAGAAGAAATTATGCACATAACCAACACTTTGACCCTTGATCTCTGTTTAATATTCCAGGTCATTGAACAAGATAGTTCAGTTTTAGTGCACAAGTATCCACTCTCGCGTTGGGAGGGTTGTAAATATGAGGTTTCAATACCTAATTACATCTCATGAATGCTAGCGACAGTATAAATAGAGAGAAATTGATCAAAATGTGAATTGTACCGGCATAGGAAGTATTTAGCATGATGGAGAATTTATGTCTAACGTAACTATATAAATATGTGTAGATAATCTGAGAAAGGAGATGATCCGTACAAAAGCATTGGTCCAAGCATGACTCTGTAGTCACGGGTCCGAGTCAGATAGGGCATCGATTCAGGTCAGGTACTAGCTGGGTTATGCTTCTTTCCCTCTACAGCCATGATATTTTCTTCAATATAACCACAAAGGACAGAGCTTATGTAATAGAAAACACACATTTGGCGCACACATTTAAACATAGCAAACACAGAGTATTAAAAATATAAGATTAGTGTAGGGTAATATGTGAATGTCCATCACTTAAACACCATATATATCATCACGCCCCAGATCATGAATATGTGTAAAATCACACAATCATTTGTGTGTATAGGAACAAATCAATAACACGCACAAATCAAGAAATAATATATATATATATATATATATATATATATATTATGTATATTCTTAGGAACCAAACGTATTGATACATCAATCAGTTCAAACTGCAGCATAATAGGAAGAGTTGCAAAACAAAGTTATGATTTTTGTATCCTGAAATTTAAGTCAGCCGGTTTCTTGGTCGAAATCATCAGCTTCCGACTCTTCTCCATTGTCGGCATCATCATCTTCAGCTTCATTGTCAAAATCTTCTTTATCGTTATCAACTATACTGGTCTTTCCGATCACAGTTAAGTTGCTGTTGAACTTCCCAATTTCATTAATTTTTTCCTCGAAATTTGACTCCTCCATGGCTAAGAGGAGCTCATCATGATGGGGCTTGGGCCACTGGGCAGGAAGAAGATACGATGTCGGGATGATCTCCGTAGACCCTGGGTACTGTCGCATGAAAGAAGGATAAGGCAACATTTTTCTCCCAGTGAAGGTTACTCAATGATTTAAGATGGGCCAGACGCTCCCTACATAAAAAGTAGTACCATATATGAGAGGGAGCGGTAGCAGAGGTGCTTCAGTTACCGGTGGGTGGGTGAGTTGCAGATCAGGACCGTCTAATGAATTTGGAGGCCCGGTTCCAAATAAAAAATTGAGGCCCCAAATGTGAAATAAAAATAAAATCACATATAATGACAATTACATAATCCATAAATTATTAATTATTAGAAATTTAAAATCATACTACCTCCGTCCCGTTGAAAGGTTCTCAAGGCAAAGCGGCACGGTTATTTATACAATAATTAAATAAAAAAGTTCGAGTATATTATGAGAAATAATTTAAATAGGTATATAATATAACGGGGTTAGTGTTAATAACTGTGATGTTATAAATGTATTAGTTTTAATATTCAATGATTAATTTGTCATTTAAGATTGTTAATTGTTTCCTAAAATGGAAATGAGAACCTTTATTTGGGACATCAGAAAAAGGAAAGTGAGAACCTTTCTATGGAACAGAGGGAGTAACAATTAACTAAAAAGTCCTTTAAAAGAACAATTAACTAAAAAGTAAATAAGTAATAATAGCAACAAGTCTGACTAATCCTCCTACATAATTGCACTACTTTATGGAGGAAACATTGTCCCGCTCAAATATGTGGTCACCACTTCGGTAGCTTTCCTCTGAAATCTCTCCCTTTGGATATTGTTCACTCAATTTTTCATGCCCTCATCGGAAATCTCTCCGTTCAGAAAATATCACTTCTCTGTGTTAACGAGTTTGGCCATGGTAATAGCTTCCATTCCATCGCAGGTATTTTCATTCTCTCTATGTTTCCAATTTCCCATTCTGATTCAAATTTATTCTTTATGGGCACTTTTCATGATTCATATTCTTTCGCAGCCCATCTTATAATTTCATTCGAACCATTCTTTTTACACCATTGGGTTTTACCTTCTCTAAATCCTATAGCGTAAACGGGGACGAACTATTCATCCCCATCTATGTATCACTTCAAGGACGCACAGGGGCATAGACACTGCCTAGAAAAGGCCCGTCCCCATATGATGAACCCCTTAATCATAACCTGTTCCACTCGCTTTAGTTTGATTTTATTCCCAAATCTCTAGCTTCACACGAGGATGGGTCATCATAGAAAGTTAGAAACTCATATTATTTGGTCTCTTTTCAATTGCATCCCAAATTTTATTTGAATCTCTAGAACACTTCTTCAGTCTGTTATTTTTCAATATCTATTCCACATATATTTTTCTAATCGTTTATATTTTTTATACAACTTAGAGTTTTTTGTATTATATAGATTAGTTAGTTTTCTATTCCATACAATTTTCGGTGCATTTTTCAGCCTGGGTCATCCGGTAACAGTCTCTCTGTGCTTTAGTACAGGGGTAAGGCTGCGTACACCCGACCTCCCATTACCCCAGGTGGGAGCCTTTGCGGCACTGAGGTAATGATGATGATGATAGATTAGTTATGATTAGGGGTAGGCCGGTGAAACCGAAAACCGAAAATTGAATTGAAAAAATCCGAACCGCAACCAAAACAACTGAATCGCAAGAAAACCAAAACCGAACTCAAAAAACCAAACCGAACCATAGTTGTTTGGTTTCGGTTTTGGTTTCACATCTCAAAACCGAACCGAACTTTTTAAAACTTGTTTATTTATTTATTTATTTATTAATCATTAAGTATAATATTTTTTGGTTCTTAATTCTTAATTTTAGAAATTATTGTTTGATACTAGATTTATTATGATTTGAAAGATATTGACATTTAATATTTATGGTTTAATTAAGTGAAACACTTGTACATACACTTAAGTCTATTGTTATAACTTATAATACTAGGGTTTTTTCAAAACTATTACTAAAATAAAACTTATTTACACAAATATGATTGATAGTTACTACAATGTAATGTCATGGTAACTTATGTTTAAAAATTGAACATAAATTACTATGATTTCATTACTACTCTAGGGTTTTTTCAAAACTATTACTAAAATAAAACTTATTTACACAAATATGATTGATAGTTACAACAATGTAATGTCATGGTAACTTATGTTTAAAAATTGAACATAAATTACTATGATTTCATTACTACTCTAGTCTCTAGTCACTAGTCACATTTTTGTAAACAATCTTTATTTTAGTCATAAATATGTAATAATTTCATAATACTAATATGTTGATATTGTAAATCGTAATTTACATTTTTCTTGTTGTTGCATGATGATGATGTTTTATTGATATATTATTTGTTTTGTATGTTTGTTATCACATAATTTTATATATTGAACAAATATGTATTAATATAAACTAGACTCCATACTTTAAATAACACAGTAGAAAACGTGAAACTTTAGAGCATCAATATCTTTGTCTAAAAATAAAGTTGAATAAGCCATTTACTAATAAAATTTTAACCTTCGAATACACTATATATAATTCACAAATAAACTCGTGTGTTTAATTAATTTAGAAAAAGTTATTTGAATATTTGGTATAGACGCACTCCTTAACTCATTGCTTGGAAGTGCATTTGTTTCTTCTCTCTTTTTTAATTATTTTTTATATTGTATTACTATTAATAATAATTTGATATAGTTTATGTTTTTGTTTTCCAATAACTATTTTTAATCAACAAAAATATTTTGGTAAGAACCGAAAAAAACCGAAACCGAACCAAAGTAAACCGAACCGAACAAACCGTAATTCCAAAATTTTGAGCATAAAACCGAACCGAACCGAACTGAACGTTTTACTTTGGTTCGGGATTTGGTTTTAGGTGAAAACCAAACCGTTTGAACCAAACCCACCCCTAGTCATGATTGTAACTCATTTATTCTCATTTTAAATGTAGTTACATGGGCAGATAAGTATCACCATTTCAAGTCAAGATTGAACATCTGTTTTAGAGCATAAAGATGTCTAATCTGTAGTTGGAGCAGCCAAACTGTGACAGGTATGATTTTCTCCACTTTCTATTTGATTGCACAGCTAAATTAATAATGGCAATGAGAAATGTATTCACATGTTCATGATTGAAAAATCCTATTATCATTGATCCATATTATTATGAAACAGTTTATTTGGTAGTGTCACATGAAGTACTTCTTCTTAAAAGCCTTGGATTTAGTTTCTCACAAATGATTCGTGTTCTTTGTCAATATTGATTCGACTATCAGTATTTCTTTCTACTATTTTATACTCTTCTGTTTCTTTGTAAAAACTTTTACCTTTTTAAAATTTTCAAATTGAGATCTATCTTCTCTTTCAATTGTAGTGAAACCTTATGAGAGTACTAAAGTTCTTCAACAAATTTTGCAAAAAAGTTTCAGACTGAGATATATCTTCTCTTTCAATTGTGAATGATAATTGAGCAGAATTCATTATTTGGAAATATATGTTGCATAAGAAAACGTAATTTCAGATTTTTCCAATACCTTGGTAAGCATTCATTCTGAATTATAAGATTCTTACCGGAGTATGAGTATTTTGGTTTTAAGTAACATACCTGACTTAAAAGTAAATGTTGATCCCAACAAATTCCTGATACGTCTTTCAAACGTGGGTCTAAACATCGAGTGAACATTGGAATCGAGGTCTAAATATAACAGGTCTTGAGCTGATTCATAACATTGAATGCATATTTATTTTCCTCTTAATTCGAATATGAACACTAACCAAATTCATTACTCCTGGACGAATGAGGGAAGATGAAACAAGGAAATATTTCCAGCAATTAATAAAAGCGGTTGATTATTGTCAATGTAGGGGAATCTTCCACCAGGATCTTATGAAACACAATAATTATATCTTAGGAATTACTCGCTGCTCTTGCATTCTTATGAAACATTATAAGAATGCATAAGATATAACTTTATGGATTGATTTGCTTTTGCAGCCAGAGAGTTTGCTACCTATACCGCTTGGAGACTCAAAGTTTCTGATTTTAGATTGACTGCTCTCTCCCAGTAAAGGGCAGCATGTTTTGCTTAAATACTAGCCTCATGTTTTTAAAACATTGGTGTGCAATTTAAAAGTGTATATAATGTGTATGTCCATTAGTGGTAAATCTTCCGTTTCTTACCCACTTGGCCAGTTGTAATTCTTATATCTGAATTATTTACTTGGTCACAAAACAATCATGATTTGTGCTCTGATTTTTGTAACTTAACATGAGGAGTGACAACTTGAGCAGCTAAAACGGCTCATATATGACTTAGATATCGTACTTTTTGCCTATTGAACTAATGGTAAGAGTACTAATTCTTCATATGCCCTCAGGTTTTGTTCTCTAATGCATATTCTACTGATGCCCTCGTTTTATAAATTTGCAGCCAAAGTAGCCTCTTATTCAAACCTTTTTGAAAGATTCAAACAAATCTTAGCCAATAATTCAGCAAAAAAAACTTTAAAAGATCGTAGTCGAAACACTGGAAGGGGACTTAGGAATATTCTTAATTAATATAAATAGATTGCAGTTAACATCAGTATTGGTACAAATAGGTTAGTTGTCTAATTATTGTAATTTTCAGTTCAAACATAATTGTTTTCCCGTAGAATTTTTCGGTTCTAAAACAATGGGTTTCCCATGTAAGGGCACAAGGGCTAGATAAAGTGAGTGTTCGAACTGCATTTGCCTCTGGTGTTGTCTCTGCTAGCCCTGCCGAGGATGGATTTCTGTGGTTAAGCATACTTTAGACAGAAACTGGCAGTCTTGGATGGTCCAAAGACTCCAACCTAACACGAATAACTTAAAACTAGATAGAATGATCAATAATCATTAAGCTAGGACATCTGGCAAGATAGTATGGAATAGTATGTTAGAATGGAAATTATGGAATTGTGATTCACCTATGAGTGGAGATAGAATAATAGTTACTAGCAATTGGCCTGGAAGTTAAAAGGTTCTTTAGTGTATTCCTATTTGCAGTTGAGATGTAGTGTGTGCGGCTTCTACTTCTTTACATTATCGAGCATGCTGTTAATTTGACTGTTAGTCTGTTGTGTGGGTGGTCTTTAAGTGCACCAGTAGATATGTGCATAAAAGGTTCACTCATCAGTATAATGCCACAACTGGTGCTGATTTTGTAACAAAGAAGTTTCATATTAAGTGATAGTAACATTTAAGTATACTAAAATATATTAAAACTCTCGCCTGAACTTTAATATCATTCACAATTCTACGATTTTTTGCTTGACTTAATTTGAAGATTATATTTATCATCAACTAAATATAGAATATTTAGTTGATGATGCTAGGAACTACTAATCCTAATACTTGCTTAAACATTCTAAAATGAGTGGTAGTACATAAAACTACGTCATTTTAAGCCTGCGAGTACGTTGATCAGCATATGCCGATCCCACGGTATAATTTGCGAAAAAATAAGCTTTTTAACAAATTGCATAAATTTTCACAGGAAGTGCACGTAGCCTATAAAAAGGCTTTCAACAATTTGTAATGTGTGTACTAAAAAGACTTATAATATACTCCCGTATATTATAATCTGCTTTTGATTTTAGCCATTCGTGTGACAACTTGTGTTTTATTTTTATATAACATTTCATAAATGGTTTTATATATTAATATTTACAATATTTACAAATTACAGTAAGCTAATAACGACAACGTATAATAAGAATTAAGAAAACGATTATGTAAGCTGTTTTAGGCATTCAGGCACTTAAGTTGTCAGTGACCTCACTTACCTGCGATTGCGGATTGCGGATTCAGTTATTCGAAAATCAATTAGGGCAGGCGAAGATTCGAAGATCGGAAGACTGAAAAGCAAGTCGGACTGGCGGAGCACGGGAGCAGGCGGCAAGGGCGATGCAGCAGGTGAGCAGTGTATTGCGAGGAGAGGATTGCGGTCGGTTTGCCGTTAGCGAAGAGCCGAGGAGTGCGTTTCAGCATTTGCGGGCCTTTTGGTTATAATTATTTTTATTTATATTATTATACGGACTACCGAATAAAATACTTTCTCCTGTCCTAAATAAAGTTCAAACTTTCTTTTTTTGAGTCTGTCCAAACTAAAGTTCATGCTTTTCTCCCTTCCTTATTTGGCAAATTATCTACATCAAAATAGTGTCAAACAATGCAAAACAGTATCAAACAGTGTCAAACAGTGTAACAACAGTGTACTCTACAGTAAAGTCAAATTTATTTCCTTAATTTGTGTGATGTCAAACAGTGAACTTTATTTAGGATCGAAGGGAGTATTGTTTTGTTTTGGACCAAAATTTGTTGGTTGATCTGGTCTGGTGGTCTTGTTTATTTAAGTTTTGTCTCGTCTGTTCTGGTAAACGTTTGACCTCCGTGTATTTTATAATTGTCCAAGTATGGTTCGGTCTGTGTATTTTACCGAAAAATATTGTCTGTACACACAGACACTGCACAGATATTAATTGATTTGCAAGCTGGTGTTAGTGTTTAGACAGCTGTCAATGTACTTTTTTACACTAAAAGTAATGTCTATGACATAGACAAAAGTTGTTTGTGCACACAGGCAACTCTTGTCTGTTCTCACAAGCAATTTCGTACCAATTGTCTATGATCGATATTTTGTGTACAAGTTGTGCATGTTGTGTACCCCTAGCATTTCTGTTGAAATACAAATACTCTCTACACACCGGAAGTTCAGTCCAGCACATGGTGTAATACAAATACTCGTACAAATTTGTATTACCTCCGTCCCTGAAAATTCTTCTCACTTAACTTTTTGGTACGTCCCAACAAATTCTTCTCATTTCCTTTTTTGGAAAGGTTTGTATGAATATCACTCATTTACCTTCTTTCATACTCAACTATAATTATATATTTTCACTTTATTTTCACTCTCTTAAACTCTTATCCAAGTAAAACGGACAAGAATTTGAGTTTTTTCCCGGAATATTGCTAATTAAATAAATTATTCCTGAAATACTACCGGGTCAAGAATATTTCCCAAAATACTGCTAGAATTAATCACGGTTAAGGAAAGTCACCACTCCAAGTGGCGATTCTTGTATTACTTCACAAAAGCCACGACTTCGAGTGGCGGCTCTGCTCTTATAGTACAAAAGCCGCCACTTCAAGCGACGGCTCTTCTCTTATCTCCCATTTTGTACATATATAAAATGCAGTATGTTTCAAAAATTTGTTTAACTGCCTTTCCGATTGAATTTTGAGCTGAAATTTGGTATGCATAAACTAGACTTGATGAGGAACATTCTCAAAAAAATTCATCAAAACATTCCACCGGAAACACCCTCTGATGGTGTTGTCCGAGGAGGGTTCCGGTCAGGACGTATGACAAAAGATTGATCCGGCCACCTCAACTTGAGGTGGTTCCCTTTTTGATGAATTTTTTTGTGTATGTTCTTAATAAAATCTAGTTCAATCATACCAAATTTGAGCAAAACATTCAATCTGAAAGACCGACAAATGATTTTTGAAAGATAACTACGCCGGATTATACATATAAAACACAGTTATCTTTAAAAAATCATTTGACTGCTTTCCAATTTGAGATTGATTCTGAAATTTGGTATGATTGAACTAGACTTAATTAAGAACATACACAAAAAATTTCATCAAAATATACCATCGGGAACCACCTCAAATTGAGGTGGCCGGACCACCCTTTTGTCATGACGTCCTGACCGGAACCCCTCGTGGACAACACCATCAGAGGGTGTTTCCGTTGGAATTTTTTCATGAAATTTTTTGAGCATGTCCCTCATCAAGTCTAGTTTATGCATACCAAAATTCAGCTCAAAATTCAACCAGGAAGGCAGTTAAACAAATTCTTGAAACGTATTGTGTTTTATATATTTACAAAATCGGACGTAAGAGAAGAGCCGTCACTTGAAGTGGCGGTTTTTATACTACTACGTATAAGAGAAGAGCCGCCACTCGGAGTGGCGGCTTTTGTGAAGTAATACAAGAGTCGCCACTTGAAGTGGCGGCTTTCCTTAATCGTGGTTAATTCCAGCAGTATTTTTGAAATTATTTTTAACCCGACAATATTTCGGGAATAATTTATTTAATTAGCATTATTTCGGAAAAAAACTCCAGAATTTTGGATGGAGGGGTATAATTTTTATACTGCCTCTCCGATTAAAAAAGGGCACATGGTGTAATAGATGTAAAAAGGCAAAAGGCGGTAAAACACGATTACCTTGTCTTTGTGTTGAAGAAACATAAATGCAAATTTCATAATCCAGTGATTCCTGGCTTGGAAGGCGTAACGGTCTCTTGTAATTTCTTGGCCATTCCTCTTGCAAAATCCTGAGAGAGCAAAATGCAGACCAAATTTCTCTTCGATTTACAGGGTTTGATTCCAGATCCAAATTTCTTCTGCAAATCAAGCCAAATACCACGACAATCCTCCATTTCACACACTCTGCCTTGTCGTATCGCTAAGTTCTCATCCCAAATCAATGTCCGCAGGCAAATCGCGTCTGCATTGAAGAGGAAAGGGAAATCCGGATCTTCGCGATCGACTAAGATCTTGTTGCATTCGGCTTACTTGGTAGCTTCCAAGCTCAGGATCTTTCCAGAGCCGTTTGATTTGCTGATACGAGAATTTGTTGGTGGAAATGGGGGTGGAGGCGTCTTCCTTAAGGGCTATGGAGGGGAAGGTTCCGGCGGGAGAAGGAGCGGGAATAGAAACTGGATTGTTATTGTTTTGGGAATCATGGTCATTGTAGGTCTGGCCTTGTCACTGGCATTGCGGAAAGAGCTCGATTTAGATATGGTGATTGGTATTTTGGGGATATGCCTGTTTTTGCTGTCAGTTAATGTGTGGAGAAGAAGGGTTTTCGATTGGGTTTTGGGGTTCTGCTGCTGTGCATTTGGAGGTTTTGTCTTCAAAAAAGATTTACAGAGAGGGGTTAAGTTTCTTGAGGCAATGAAGATTGCCAAGAGAAGGAAAAGAAGATGCTCTTGAGAAGAAGGGGAGTGTTCTATAGCCCTATGGGTAAGAAATTGTTCTTTTTTTATTCACTAAAAGGAATTTTCAGTTATGTGCTTAAAGTGTTTGCTGATTTGCTGCTCTGAGATATGCCAACCGAGTAAATATGTCAATGGAGCTCCATTATTTTCATATAGATATTAATACCATTGAGGACTTTGTTTTTTTTTTCTATGATTGAGAATGCAGACTTCATTGCCTGATATAAGAGTAGCCTATCACGAATGATATTATATTGGGAGTTTTATTTAATTTGTACTTCTTCATCTCATTAAGTTTACATGGCAAGTAAACTAAGAAAAAGTAGAATTACAAATATAAGTATTGAGTATGGATGATTGAGAGAGACCCAGAGAGTATTATATTATACCGTAACTAAATATAGTATGTGACAAATATTATAAAAAATTATATTATACAGTAACTAAATATAGTATGTGACAAATATTATAAAAAATTGAGATAAACAAGACGGGTTGGATGGTGTCAGTAGTATATACTACATGTCCCTTAAAACTTTGCCAAAGTTGACCGGCACAGAAATAACAGAAACCACAAAATAATTGATTAAAAGGGAAAGTGACAAAGTTTTTTGGAACGTCAACAAAAAGAAAGATCGGCAAAGTTTTAATGGACGGAAGGAGTATAAACTATATTCACCATTAACTGATTAACCCAAGAAATGTAATTATTTATTCATTAGGACAACATTTACATGGCTCTTACTTCTAGTTCTTGTTGTTAATGTAGATAATATTTCAAGAACTATAGAAAGACATTTGACAGTAAAGAATTTGGGTTCTTGTATTAAAGACTAAGAGGTGTTTGGATCTGATTCTGAAAATGCTTCTGCTTCTTCAGGGACCAGAAGCAGAAGTTAAAATGTTTAGGTGAAACTGCAGAAGTACTTTTGGTTCTCTAACTTACTCCTAGAAGCGGGTTTTTTAGAAGCGGGTTTTTTAGAAGCTGGAGGAGACCAGCTTCTAAAAACTGATTCTGATTCTGATTCAACTTTAAAAAAGAAGCAGAAGCAGAATCAGTTCCAAACACCATCTAAGTATGAAACAACACTTTATTCTCATTGTATACTCCGTAATTGAATTGCTTCAGATCTAGACCAAGCTAATCCTTGAGAAGATTCAGTACTCACTCCTGTTAAATGGCGAGATGTGCACTTGACTCGCCACACTTAAATTAAGAAAGAATGTCATCTATATTACTAATGGACTTTTCAATTCCAATAATATGACTATTTACATTTTTTCGAAAAAAGTGACTTTGGAAATCCGTTTAAAAGCAGTTTCGCGCATCCGTACTTCCCGTCATTTTCTTTCTTCATTAAAGCCATTTCCTTATACATCCACCCTTCTACTTTGGAAATTACGTTTTCACATTCTGCATTCAAATCAAGGGTTTTATCTTTTGATGATCATGCGCACAACTCATTCAAATAACAAATTTTTCCTACATCAAAGGAAATAACTCATTCGTTCCCTGGTTTCACTGATATCCAACCATCGCCTAGCCTCGTTGACGGTCATCTCACACTGTCGCCTACCTCTACCTAGTACCGCATCGAAGCTTCGCCTAGCAAAATCGCCAATCTGCTTGTGTGTTGACGATTGTCGTCATTATTGCTCCTCCCGCCACAACTCTAATAATCTTCTTCTCCTCCTCTTTTCTTTTACCAAATTAAAACACTACCGCCTCTAGTTCCAAATCCGAAGCCTTAGGTTGTTCGTATTCGCCGGTGTTGATGTTCGACGAATTGATTTTAGATTTTTTGTGTGCAGGGGCTCCAAGGGTCGTCCGTCTTCGCCGGTGTTTTGTTCCCAACCGCAGCTTTGGTTGCATGGAAGTAGGTAGCAACGGTGGGTTTTTGGATGGGCGGTGGAGTTGATTGGGTCATGGTGTGAAATGTGGCGATTTAGGAGTTCCTACACTCTACTGTAGGATGTGATCGAGATTAGCAGCGACTAGCTAGAGTCACTACCCAAGTAATGTGAATAGGGTTGAAGTCACTATATAGTGTCACTGAGCCTGATAGTCACAATGAGATGTCGGGGGATGGAGTAATTGGAGAAGGCAGTGGAATAAAATCTCTGTGCGATGGAGTCACTGGAGATTAAAAGCTATGCAACAAAGTCACTATGGCAGTAGCGATGACGGCCATTGGCGGTCATTGGGGTGGCTAGAAGTCATTGACTAATTAATAATTATAATAATGGAATATCATAATAATAAATGTAATATACATTAAATAAGGGCTAAAAAATATGTTAAGTCACATTTTAGGAAAAATTTGAAACAAGTCACATTTTTGCCTTTTGTATATAATTTAGTAATATTCATAAAATAAGGCCTTAAATTAACTCTATTTGCGTAGCTGATACGTAGTATACTTGTTTAAAAGAAAATTTTCTAAAATCTCAACTGTGAAGTTTGTTTTGCATGCCTTTAATAATACTACCTCCATTATTAAATAAGTGCAACATGTGAAATTTTACACTATTCACATGTTCTACTTTGACTACATTTTATTTATTAATGTATTAATATATTTTTTTTGAAAAATATATTATTAAATTTGTCTCATTGTAAATTTTCAAAAACTAAAATTTTTAAATTTTTTACCAATAGAGAATTATAAATATTAATGGTCAAAGTTGTGTCTCGACAAGTGTGAAATGTTGACTGTTGCACTTATTTAAGAACGGCTGAACCTGTAAAACTTTTAATTTCCAGTGTAAAATCCATTCGATTCCAATTTCCAAGACAAAATGTTCAGTGTCTCAAATGTCCCCTACAACCTTAAATAAAGTCCGTAGGAAGCCAAAATGATAGGGATATTTGAGTGGTTGGGATTGGGTGGAGCTTTACCTTTTAAAAAGTGACCCCAAATCACCTTTATGTCACTTTTCTTGTCCATCATGACAAAACTTCGTTTTGTACTATGTTAAATTCAAAAATGGAGACCCAATTTCACCTCCCGCTCAATTTCATACACGTGGGCCTGTTTTATTCTTCCGTGGTACGAAATACCCAAAATACCCCTAGCGGGAACCACAATATAAAGCACGGGGAAGGGCATCCTGGTAATATTAACAGGATGCCCTCCCCCCTATATATTGTCCCCTTATCACTCTTTCATTTCAGAAGTTTGCTCCGGGGCGAAAGAGTGGCACCAAAGAGTGACACTCCGTAATGGCTCCGAACCGATTTAAAATAAATTCAAAAAATTATTTCCTCACGTATTCGAGATGTTCTGTTCCGAAAAATCAAGCGATGGAATTCCTGAAAAATCTCCATTATCCCACAACACTCAAATTCATCAAAATCTGCAGGGAACTCCACGCTAACGGAGAACCCCATCTCCACGGCCTGTTACAATTCGAAGGACGGTTCTGCTGCACAAACAACAGATTCTTCGACATCACCGTTCCAGAACGGCGGGGTGCTTTCCATCCCAACATTCAAGGTGCAAAATCCTCGACGAACGTCAAGGAATACATTGAGAAGGGAGTTGATGTGTGCCAATGGGGTGAGTTCCAGATTGACGGAAGATCCGCCAGAGGTTGTAAACAGTCCGCCGCTCAAGTATACGCCGAAGCATTGAATACCGGGTCAACAACTGCAGCTCTCCAGGTAATTAAAGAAAAGGACCCCAAATCCTTTACGTTGCAGTACCACAACCTAACGAGCAACTACGAACGAATTTTTCAGCCACCGGTGGTTCCGTTCGTGTCACGGTGGTCGCCCGAATCATTCGTTATACCGGAGAGTCTGCAAAACTGGGCCCGTGAAAATATTTTCCTTCCGGAGTGTTCCGCTGCACGGCCTGATAGGCCTAAAAGCATTATAATTGAAGGGCCCAGTAGGATCGGAAAAACAGCTTGGGCCAGATCACTCGGCCCACATAATTATTTAAGTGGGCATCTGGACTTTAACAAATACGTGTACTCAAATGAGGCCTGTTATAACGTCATTGATGACGTCACTCCCCACTATCTGAGACTAAAGCACTGGAAGGAATTAATTGGGGCCCAGAGAGACTGGCAGACCAATTGTAAATACGGAAAGCCAGTTCAAATAAAAGGCGACATTCCTTCAATCGTGCTGTGCAATCCTGGAGAAGGTTCCTCGTACAAAGATTTCCTTGAAAAAAGGAAAATGTGGGTCTCCGCGATTGGACATTAATCAACGCTGAATTCGAATTTATAGACTCCAATCTATTTATTCGGAGTGCGTGACAGCTATTTCGGGCCCAAAGAATAATAATCCCGGATAATCCGGAATGATCACTTCCAAAAACAAAAAGCCCAGAATCCGCACTAAAAGACAGTGGATTCCGAGGAGACGAAGGACAGATCTCCCCTGCGGGTGTACTTACTATCTCCATATTTCCTGTCATAAATATGGATTTTCGCACCGGGGATACGCTCACTCCGGAACAATGCAACCGAGGCATCTACATATGGGAAGTTCCCAATCCCCTGTATTTCAAGATCACGGAGCATCAAACACTCACGTCCGTGACGGAGCTGGATTTCGTGAAGATACAGATCCGGTTCAACCACAACGCCCGACGAGCACTCGGATTGCAGAAAGCATGGATATATTTGACGATCTGGACGACATTGAAGCCATCCACTTCAATGTTTGAAAATAGATTTAGGTTCCATGTAATGCAGTATTTAGACAATGTAGGAGTTTTTAGTATTAATCATGTAATCAAGGGTGTTCAGTATTTTGTAGACATGTTTCAGCGTTACATCATTGATGTTGAACAAGCACAAAATATTCAGTTTCAAATTTATTAAATAAATACAAATTATTCATTAATCTGTGCATAATTTGTTACAATATACAATGGACTCATCACAATATTTTTTAAATATATTTATTACAAATTACTATGTCCGGCACCTTCGCCGGAGGACCCTGATTTTTCCTCTGGATTGACACTCTCAGCGGACACGTGCAACAACGCTTCAGACAGTCGATCGAGCTCAGCCTGCAGAGCGTTATACCATGATATAAATGCGACACTGTTATCGCAACACGAAACCGATATGTGCCGGAGCAAACGGGTTAAAAGCCCAGGACCGGCCAACCGGTCCCGGTCCGATCCGGGCCCAAAGAGTAGCGGGCCGGGCCAGTTCCAGGTCGGGCCGGCCTGGTTTAGTCCATCCCTAGCCCGGAGGCGGTCTTGTGGACTAGCCCCCGGAGCAGGTCCTCAAAGACTGCGCCCCAGTGACCGACCGGTCCATAAATATATCATCTACCAATCTTAGAACATTTAAGGGATTTTTGGACAATGGAATTTCAGCAAAAACAGCATTTTGACCCTTGTAAGCATTTTCAAATTTCAACAAATGAAAACGTTACTTAGCAAATAACTATTCGACCTGGCATTTTTTGACAGAACCATTGAAATAAAAACGCTTCAAATAGCGAAAACATTGTTTGATAAATTAAAAACCCACTAACATAATCCCCTATCCGCTAAACGTTAAATGTCAAACACATCGTTAATCAAGACAAAAATTCAAAAAACACCAATACACAGACATTTTAATAGACTGGAATTTAATAAAATAAAATGTAAACGACCATTGTTTTATGAAACTCGAATGATATAATGAAAACGATTAATAATCCCTCTAAAAACGATAAACAATCAGAGGATGTCAAAAAGATTTTTTTTTCATTTGCTTTTAGAAAACGATGATGAATGCAAGAGAGCATGATGAATCGCCATAAGTTTTTTTTCACATTATATCATCATCAAGTACAATTCCTCGTTCTACAACAAAATGGGGATATCATAACATCACCGAATATTGATCTAACGTTACAATGATTGTTCACAAAATAAATTACAAACAGGTTAAGAACGGAATATATTCACACATTTAGACAACTAGAGACGGTGACCAGAAGGAAAACAAGCATCTGGATTCTGGAATGCTTTTCTCTGCATAACGCTATTGCCAACCATTTATTTCTTTGTTGAGGCTGAAAACAAAATCCCAAGATAATGTAAACATACAAATGTTTAAACAAATCAAGGAGGGACTAAAAGATGCTAAGCAATTTAGAAACACCCACCAATAGCAAGGCTTACTTCTAGTATATAGTTAATGATCATTTACGGGCATAAAAATAATTCGCCAAATTAATTTCTGTATTTTAATTGCGTAGCGTACGAGATTTATGCCTTCAGAGTATGAATAACTGAGACACAATAAAATATTGAAGAGTGATTGATATACTGGATTGAAAATTCTTCACCAAATGAAAACAACATTTTTGTAGTCTAATTAGAGTCTTTTTTAAATGTACACCCTAATCAAGAGTTTCTGTAACATCTTCAACCACAAAACTGATATCCAACAAAAGCTTGAATGATATTTCAAATTTAAAATAGACATTTAAATAATGCACTATTTTTATCTCATAATAAAGTAATCATTTGAACCACATCTCTCCCAACGGCATGTTATGAAACTCAGATCTTCAATCTATAACTCACTCTCATTCACATCCCTAGCCATTCAAAGCTATTCAGCACAACCTAATCCATATATTTAATGCATAAGCATAATACTGGTTCCATGACCACCATGGCAAGAGAAATTAGAAAGCATATGAAATATCATTTTGCAAGGACCATACCCAAAGGAGAAATCTCTCAATCCAAAAGATAAGCCTGTCCCGATCAAGAATTGCTACGCTGTCGTTTTTTCTCCACAGTTGCTTCTAGAATCCCATCAGTTCCAAATGATATTGTCTGTTGCTTTCCAGTTGGCCCAGGAAGCTGAAATGAAATGGTGAACTTCCCAGGAGGGCATAGATTTGATGTGTTCATCTTAAAGACCATGTTATGTTTGTAAATAGCTCGCACTCCAGTCAATGTTATGCCCCTTATATCTACCTTCCCATTAGGTTCGATGTTACAGTGAAGGTCTTCTGTCACCATAAAAGCATAAAAAGACATAATAAAATCCACTGCAGCTCATGGTAACATGTCTCTAAAATAACTTAGATCTATTAATTACTTAATCTGTATGTTTTAGTATTTTTCGCAGAAATTGCTGCATATGCTAATTTGATGAAATTGATTCAACCACATAAGTAGATCATAAGCTTTATTCTTCAGACAAAAACTTGTTAAATTTGAAAATTACAAAATTACTTGTCAATTGAAATCTAAAATAGACAAAAATGATATGTGTACGTGCAGGCTTTGGGAAGAGTTCAGTAAATGGTAATTATCTCAGATTTGCTTCCATATTATGCACTCACTTTATTTACTTGGGATACAACAAAAACAACAACATCCAATCACTTTATTTACTTGGGGTAAATTAAAAAAAAAATCATGGAACTCTTCCCTTACCCTCTCCTTACATATACCATTACTCACAAACCTAATTTCCTTATTTGGCTGTACAAAATATGGTTTTCATTCATTACATAAAATAATTGTTGTTTCTATTTATTTTTTTCAGCTAATGACAAGCAACCAACAAAGTACCTGCATCCGCCGAAACACCAGGGAGTGAGACACGGAACAAATACTTGGTATCAGACTCTAGAATATCAACAGCTCCTATAGGGTGTCCTACTTTCCCCATTAGAGCAGTTCCAGTAATCAAACTCCCTGCTTTAGCACTGGCCGCAGCAAAAAGACTGGTCTTCTCTTCGGGAGTCAAAAGATCAGTAAAATAAACCATTGCGGGTTGAGTGCTGGCATTCTCTGAAGATTCATCATTTTCAGATGAGGTCGAGGATGTTTTACAACCCTCCACAGGACCATATGTTGGGAGAGGACCAGTGTAGGGCACAGAACGGAGAGGTGCTACATCAATAACAGACTGTGCGCGATCTTTCGGATCTGTACCATTACTCTCATCACCTTGCCCCCTGGAGTGAGAAGCCGTGAGGCATCACACAATTAGAAAGGCATCCAAATTAAACCCATACGGAAAATTACTTTTTTTGCAAAAAAAAACTGCAGCTTTACACGCGTGAACGAAGCAATGAACATATAACATAATAATAGATTCAGAAAGAAGGTAAGAGATGGATACATCGATTCCTGAAACGGTTCCGAGCTCGGTTTCAGGCAGAAATGTTGAAGCACTTCTTCTTCCCACAAAATGAGAGATACATATATATATTCCTCATAAGAGAAATGCTAAAAGCACTGTTTCCATCAGTTGCTCAACAAATCGAGCTCTTATACGCCCATTACTGAAGCTTTTGAGAAATGAACTCTTCTGCTTCAGGTAGAAGCGCAAGGATGGGGAGAACTGACACGAGGTCGACGGATACTGTAAAATTTGTGGTAGCCTCACACCTTTGATCTATTAGTCGAGAGCTGCGCATGTTTTCAGGTTTCCAGGAAAGATTAGGGTTAGTTATATGTTGGGCCGATTCGATATACGGGCTATAGAAATCGCAGATGGTTGAGATTCCTTTTATTTTTATCATAAGTTTTACACAAATTCGATATACGGGCTATAGAAATCGCAGATGGTTGAGATTCCTTTTATTTTTATCATAAGTTTTACACAAATGCTAAAGGTGCCCCACTTGAATTGCCCCATTTATGGCCACACATTAGGGGATGGGGTAAAAATAGGGTACATTTTGGGGAACTCCTAGCAAAACTCTAAGTTTTATTTCTCTTTTTTAGATTTTTACCTTGGTTTTGTTGTGATTGTGGTAGTGATGTTGATAGAGTATATGACCCAGGAATCCTGGGCCCACATACTTCCACTATAACAATCAGGTCCAACAGACCCAAGCGGTCCAAACATAGCAAGCAAGGCTCCGGGCAGCCCATATTGCAACAAGTTACTGCCTTCGGCCCCATGGCCGAAGACCACACAATTGGCAAACATTTACTTTTGGTCGACTAACGTCACTGGGAAATTTAGGCTGAGATTACGTGCACCTTTCGGCATATACACAGCCTTCGGCTCATACATAGCCTTCGGTACAAGGCCCCCCCGGGGTGCATGTAACCGAGGGCACTCTCCTGGACAGGACCCCCCCACATGCGTTGGATCGCCGCATTGAATGCGAACGTCACACCCAAACCACCGCATTAAATGCTGCCACATGCTATGTCGGCACCACCCTGGCTGAATTGACCCTCAATCGATGGTTGTTTGACACGTGTACCCTCGTTGATTAGACCTAGCATTTATGGCTGCTATAAATAGTAGTCATTCTTCCATTGTAATGGACACAATTTAGATATCGAATACATACTCACTCTCTCTTACTTGCTCTGACCTCTCTCTTAATATTTGTTATAATATCCCTCGGATAAACTACCCCTCGGGTACACTATCCATAATTTGGTGCTTTCATTGAGAGGTCGAACAATCAAGTAAGACTTCCCCCCCCCCCCCTCTCAGAAAAACACTCCTCAGAATGGGTAGAACTCGAGGTCAATCCAAGACCCTAGAGGAAAAAGAATCTAGGCCTCGGTGAAGTTAACACCGCCGAAGCCTCAAACAAGACTCCCGAAGGCGGGGCCCTCGCTGAAATGGAGCAGGTCGCTGCTGACCTGTGCCTTTAGCTCCGGAAGAATGCCCCCGACGCTCGTGTCGGCCTCGAGACCCGTAGGAAGGACCAGAGTGAAAACCAAATTAGCCCTCCGGTCCCAACTATTGATGTACAATCGGCTTTCTCTGCCTTCATCCACACTCTCGCACACAACCCTGGTGCCTTCGCGGCTTTGGTACCACCCCAGGCCCACGTTGGGGAGAATGTCATTCCATGCCCGCCACTTCCACCCCCCTTCGTAGCCCCGGTTCCAAGAATCGGGAATAACGAGGGGGTCATTGCTCAGGACACCGCGTCCCAGGAGGTTCATTATAACACTTGAGATTTAATTGAACCGGATTAATAGTACTACCTCGGGTCCTACGGGGGAGGATATCGAGCGAGCACTTAGCGGGGGAGGATTTTGGGATTTGATTGAGATTTGAGATTGGTTTATGGACGCAACGAGGACGTTGTGATCCTAAGAGGGGGTGATTGTAACACTTGAGATTTAATTGAATCAGATTAATAGTACTACTCATACCAACAAGGTGCATCTCCTTTTTAGGGAGCTCATTAGCCAAGAACTCCAAAGTTAAGCGTGCTTGCACGAGAGTAGTCTTGGGATGGATGACCCCCTGGGAACTTTCTCAGGGCGCGCACGAGCGAGGACAAAGTGCACGGAAAAGGCTAGTGGCAGTTTGTGAGGACAGTACTAGAGGTCAGAAGTAACTACCTCGGGGCCTACGGGGTCGAGGTGTTACATTCAGTCCCGGGACCAGCGCGGAGCTGACAAAAATAGGCCTCGGACCTCCACCATTGACAGGCTTGGAGGAGCACGTGATCACCAATGGGTCCAAGACCGCCTCGGTGGTAAAGTGTTCCAAAGGCCTCAAGAGAGCGGAGGATCCGTCTTGAGGGCAGATGAGAGGCATCCCCCTTGGGACAAAGGCAAGGGACTGCTACATGCTGATGACGTCAGGCACCAGATCAACCAGGCTCACTCGGCCCGCGTAAAATCACTTGGGGCGGAGGCGATGCCTTAGGATCCTAGGGATGATATTATTGAGGCCCTAAGGCGCCGACTCGACGAGATGGAGGCTCGTCGGGCCCAAACGACGGCTTCCGCCTCACAGGCGGAACCCAAATATGCCGCCATGTTGGCCAAGTTGGACGAAATGCGGAAGAAGCTTGCCGAGGGCTCTGGGGAACCCGTCATCCAACTTCGCACGAGGACGCCTTTTACCCCAAAGGTATTGGCGGCTCAGATCCCGGGGAAATACCGAGGGCAGACCATCAAGTCATATGAAGGGAAGACTGACCCCCAGGAGCACTATAGCAAGTACCAAAATAACATGATGATGATGGGGGACTCGGATGACTATTTGTGCTGTTGGTTCCTCTCCACATTGGAAGGACCAGCATACGAATGGTTCAACCGACTGTCCGAAGGGAGTATTGACTCTTTGCAAGAACTCGCGCAGCGTTTCTTGACGCAATTCGCGGGAAGGCACCAATCAAAGAAGCATTTCTCCCACTTGCTAACAATAAGACAACAGAAGGAGGAGACCCTTCGGGGCTTCTTGGAATGTCGGAGGCAGGAGACGGACAGAGTCGATGGCGCCGACGACAGGACCCTGATGGCTCTCTTGCAGACGGTCCTCAGTTCCGGGAACTTCTTGAGGAGCCTCATCACCGAGCCACCCTGCGACTACATAAGGGCCCTTCAAAGGGGAGACAGGTACGCCGAAGCTGAGGAGGTAGACAAATATCGTTGAAACCCTGAACAGCCCCACAAACCAAAAGGCAAGAACCAACGGAATCTGGGGGCTCCACCCCATCCGGTGAAGCTGCAAGCTCCTTTTGGTGACCGTCCCCGACATGGCCAAGCCAAGCCTGGGGGGTTCCAAGAACAATCTGAGGGCCTGAGCACAGCCCACGCTTTTAGAACATCCTCGGACACCCCTGACGCACCCCATCAGCGTCATCCTGGACTACGCCGAGGAGAGGGGTCTAGTGGAGCAAGATTCAAGGGCACCTCATGATGTGTATGCCATCAATCCAAACGAACCATATTGTCGCTTCCGCCGTCACCCAGGACATCGAACCGATGACTGCCACCAGTTGAAGGCAGCTATCGAGAGATTGATAAAGTGGGGCCATCTGTCCCAATTCGTCAGGGGTTCCCAACGCCTGGATCAACCCGAACACCATTCCCCCCGCCGATCCGAATGGCAAGAAGCGAGAAATTGGGAACCTCACCGAGGAAGAGGCGTACCAGCATCCTCAAGAGAAGAAGCGCCACATCCATGTGATCATCGGCGGCAACACGGGAGGAGACTCCGCGAGCCAAAGGAAGAAGTGGGCACAATCCCTTTACGTAGGGGAAGTCAATCACATGCCCCCGCCAAGCGGTCGAGGGAGGAGCCCATAATGTTCATGAACGTCGATCTCCCCAGGGTCTCTCCCTCATAGAGATGCACTCGTGATTCAGAGTGAGATCAACAACACCATCATCCACAGAACCTACGTTGACACCGGCAACTTCGTCAACGTAATGTACCTCAGCACATTCAGGGAGCTGCATTTGAAACGGGAATCCCTTCGGCCTATCTGAACCCTCTTGTCTGGCTTCACCGGGGACACCATTGATTCCGAAGGGGTAATATCCCTCTCGGTTCTCTTCAACGACGGTTCCCATAGAGCCAAGCTCGAAGTGGAGTTCATCGTCGTCATCCTCGACTTTGCTCACAACATTATCCTCGGTCGCCCCGCCCTAGAGGATTTGGAAGCAGTAATCTCCATGAGGCACCTCTGCCTCAAGTTCCACGCTGCCGGATGCGCCGACTACTCGAGGGGGGGCCAAAAACTTTCACGCACCTGCTACCTCCAGATAACAAAGAAGTTAGCAAGACCGAGCTCCGCGTGGATACCGTCACCGGAACGGTAGAAGGCGAAGAGGAAAGGCTGAGGGTTGAACCAGTAGAGGAGGTAGAAGACTTCACGCTCGATCTGGCCAAGCCGAAAAGAGTCGTGAATATAGGAGCCAAGCTCCATGAAGAACTAAAAACCGGCATCATCGATGCCCTCCGCGCCTACGCCATCGTCTTTGCACGGGGGCCGGAGGACAAGCCGGGAATTCATCGAAGGCTAATCACTCACCGCCTGGCGGTGGACCCTTCGGTGATACTGGTCATGCAAAAGAAGAGGTACCTTTCGGCTGAAAGGAGGGATTTTGTGAAGGAAGAGGTCATCATGCTCCTCGCCATCAAACATATCCGGGAGGTGAAATACCTCTCATGACTGGCTAATATGGTCCTCACGCAAAAGCCACCCAGATTCCGCATGTGTGTGGACTACGCTGATCTTAACAAGCCATGTCCCATGGACCCATTATCTTTGCCCAACATTGACTAGTTGGTGGATGAAACAGCGGGCTGTGAAATCATATCGTTCCTCGACGCCTTCCGAGGATATCACCAAATTTACATGCACGAGGAAGACGAGGAGAAAACAGCTTTCATGATTCCCGGAGGCATCTTTTGCTACCTAGTCATGGCTTTCGGCCTTAGAAACTCTGGCGCTACTTACACAAGTATGGTGGTCAGGGTTTTTAAGGCTGTATTAGGCCGCACCATGGAAGGATACGTCGACAACATGATCGTCAAGAGCAAGGAATCCGTGAGTCACGCCGATGACCTGAGGGAGATTTTTGTCATCATGAAAAAATCCAACCTTCGGCTAAATCCAAAAAAGTGCACCTTCGGCGTGCAAGGGGGAAATTTTTAGGCTACATGGTGAGCCGAAGGGGTATCAAGGCCA